GTTCTAGTTTGTGTACTTGGTCCTGGAAACATTTGTAGGTGTTCTAGTTTGTCTATTCGGTTCTGGAAACACTGGTAGGTGTAGTGAGTTGTCTACTTGGACTCGCATTTCCATTTGCGTTTGTGTCGTTTAACTACGTTGCTATTAATCCCCGTACAATTTCCCACCTTCTTACTGTTAAGGCAGTTCCGTTCAGGTTGCTATAACGATAAATAACGATCAATCCGTTGTGGCCAGTGGATGTTATAGCTCTACAAACTGTTATTTTCTGGACTAGAATACAATAACCGATAGTATTAGATGTTGTACCTTTTGTTGCTCTGAATAAAAAATTTGTGGACGTGATTTTACAACACCCAGCTGGTTCTGTTACGGGCCTACCCTTCTTGTAGTGGTTTTTATACGAACTCTCACAGCAGTCTTTTTGGCACTGTTGTACCGTGTAAATTGTAATATCAACACCACTCATGGTGTGTCTCCCATCTTTCTAATATGCTCTTCAACAGTTTCTTCCTGATATGTGCTTTACCCAAGTCTCTAATGCACAACTCTCCATTCCTTTCTCTGTAATCTGTACTTCACCCATATTCTATGATGTCCTCCATCCGTTTCTTTCTATTCTATATTTCATCCAAATTACTAATCCACAACTCTGCCATCTTCATAATATGTCCTTCGCCCTTTTATCTTTAACCTATACCTTATCCATATCTCTAATATACGTCCATTTTTCTGTAACCTGACATCAAATTGTGATGCCCACACTTTGAGCAGCTTGTGGGAAAATAAACACTTAATGTTTTATTAAAAAAGATCACTCATTCTAACTTAAATAGTACGCAATTTTCCCTCTCGCAGTAGCTATGCAAATCTTTATAACAGATGCTTTAAAAAAGTACATCTGTTGAGCCCGTTAACTCAGCGAAAGTAGTACGTCTCTTGTATCTATTAAATCTACGTGTGTCTCTTACTTCCATAAACTCTACAAAACTTTCGACCTTTGCGTCTATCATCTCTACGAAGTATTTCCTGGCGTCTCCACCAATTACTGCATCTGTTGTATTCCAACCGGCCTGATGAGCTCTAGTATTAGGCGCAAAGCTTCATCGGCACTGGATATGGTAGACATAGTGTGGTTGACATATCGTGATACATTCTTCTTTACTTTCACTCATAAATTATTAGAAGTCTATAATTTACACTCATAAACCTTGCGAACGTCTCGTTTCCATTTACTCAAAAAAATCTGTCTAGTGTCCCTCAAGACTACGTAGGAATGTCCCTTGGACGCATCACATTGATCGAATGATGGAAACAGGCCAATAAATAAGAACTACAGTTTGGTAAGTGTACGTCCCAAATAATGGTAATATTGGTCATTTCTTGGAGCTATCAAATATTAGAAGAAAAATGGTGAATAGAGTATATATGATGACGGCACAATTTTGTACATTACATCCCCAGAAGAGCGCGAATATAACAAATATTTCTGGTGAGAGCTATGTTACAAATTTTATATTTAAAGAAAAAAACATTAGTACAATACAAGTTAACAGTGAGGACCGTCATATACGTTTTATACCCCAAGAAGAAACATTAGTACAATATAAGTTAACGGCAAGGACCGTAATATATGTTTTATATTCAAAGAAAAGAAAATTAGTACAATACAAGTTAACAGTGAGGACCGTAATATACGTTTTATATTCAAAGAAAAAACATTAGTACAATACAAGTTAACGGTGAGGACCGTAATATACGTTTTATAAAACACAATGGTACTGTTTATGTTAATTGTGAGAACTGTATTATAACGCTTTACTTGCGTAACAAATGAACACCCGCCTCACGTGACATTTATTTTATTAACTTCATGGGATAACACGTGTCTTTCGCTGTCAGGTCTACTGAATATGGACGATTAACGAAGGTATACGTGCTACGTCAGGCACAAAACGTCACTTTCGTTTGCGTCATCTTCACGCAGTTAAAACTGAAATACGCGTCAAACAAGAACCGCTCGTCCGATTTCTTATCCATTTAAACTCGAGTTTTGGAGGCGTCCACCTGAGTTTCTCTATTAAATTTCGCCGAAACTGCTTAAGTCAGTTTTTCACAACTTAATTATGACATCAAGACACTAGAAAGAGACTGTTTATTATATAAAGATATCCTTAAAAAAATGTGGATAACACTACTGGTGGCAAACGTATTTTACATTCTTAGAAAACCATGGTTACCGCATACACGTAATTGGTGAGAATCGTGTTTTACATTGTTAGAAAAACATGGATATAAGGTGTCAATAGTGAGAACTGTGTTTTACACTCTGTAAAGCATGTATTCCAAAATCTTAGAAAAACGTGGATATAGCATATATTACTGGCAAGGATGGTATTTTACAGTTGTATGCAAACACTATTTTATAATTGAGTCTTATATTCGATGGTAACTTGAAAGTTTCTTGCTGCAACACATATAATTCATATATATTAGATGATAATGAACCTCCGATAACAACGCCATGTACGTATCTATACATGTAAGCTCCACTCTGATTATATGGGCTTTAAAAACCATGGAACGATCAGATAATGATGTGGTTGAAATAACGTTTCTAAAAGCTAATGCACGTGGAAACGCCCACAGGAAGTTGTAAAACTTACTTTGCTATCTATAATGATGACAGAAAAGCCAATACCCACCTAATGATTCAATCGATATGTCGATTAGGTGCTGTCCTATCTAGAATAAAATATAGATTAATAATACAAGGCTCGTGAGTTTTTTTTATCTTCACCTTAAAAATCGCTTTCGGTATATGAATGTCCGATATTACTGTGTGAAACTATTATCGCTATTCAAAGTTCTCTAAAAAGAGCAAAAGTTTACATATAAACCTAATAGATGAAATTATTTTTTATCTTCACTGATTACAATAATTGAATTAACTTTAGTGACAGCACATAGTTATAAACACGATGTGTCAGAGGTAAGAGAGTTACTGAATCAGCTTTTTCGACAGATTCCCACTACTGATGATTACAGGTTCTTATACAGTCCCTACACTATCTAATCAGCTGTACTCCTCTGATCTTGGGTAGTGGCAAATGTGTTGATGTGCATAGCATCTGAAGAAGCTCCATGGATGTCCTTTAGGATTTACATTACGACTTCCTGCTGAACAATCCATGACCTCTATAGCTTCTTGGTCAAGGCAGGCCATCACAATCCCCGGACATTATCCGCCATTTAGAAAAAGTCTAGCACGAGTGGAGATAATATTACCCTGTTTAATCACCATCAAGCAAACTCTTTCTTTGAAAATACAGTCCTAATGTCTGCCCATAACACACAGGGCCCAACGATTTGCATTGTATAGTGTCCATAACACACACAAGGCCAACGATTTGTATTGTATATTGTTCATAACACACAGGGCCCAACGATCTGTATTGTATATTGTTCATAATACACAGAGCCCAACGATTTGTATTGTATATTGTCTATAATATACAGAGCCCAATGATTTGTACTGTCCTTTGTTCATGTCTAAAACACAGGGCTCAATGATTTGTAATGTATGTTGTCTATTTCCTTAACACACAGGGCCCAACGATTTGTATTGTATATTGTTCATGACACACAGGGCCCAACGATTTGTATTGTATTTTACTCATAAAACACAGGGCCCAACGATTTGTATTGTATATTGTCCATAATACACAGGCCTAACGATTTGTATTGTACATTGTCCATAACACACAGGGCCCAATGATTTGTATTGTGTATTGTCCATAATACACAGGGCCTGACGATTTGTACTGTCCTTTGTACATGTCTAGCACACAGGGCTCAATGATTTGTTATGCATACTGTCTATTTCCATAACACACAGGGCCCAACAATTTGTATTGTTTGTTGACCATGTCAATAACACCCAAGGAACCAATGATTTGTACAGTTGTTGATTGCATCTATAACACACATGTTTCAACAATTTGTACTGTCTGTTGATCACATCCATAACACAAATGATTCATTGGTTGTGTTGTCTGCATTCATAACACACAGGGTTTAATGATTTTTACTGTCTGTCATCTATGTCCATAACACATGAGGCCCATCCCAACACAGAACTCAATAATTGGTATTGTCTGTTGTCTGTTTACCTATCACACAAGGCCCAACAATTTGTTCAGTCTGTTGTCCATGTCCATAACAAACAGGGCCAACAATTTGTATTTCTGTTGTACAGGGTTCAACATGGTATATTCTCCAAGAAAATTAAACTTTCCTCAAGGAAAGCAAAAAAAAAAAAAACGAAACAAGTTCATTTGATTCTAGGGAATCATTCTTAACATAAAGAAAGTATTTGACAGCTCAGTGAAGTGGCTGTAGTTCCAAATAACAATTACATTAGGATAAATAAGCACCATGTTTCTCAACTGTATATACCATGATGATATGTTCCTCATATATATCATTATGGATAAGTATTATGTACCCCAACTAGATATACCATGATGACAAGTTCAACATTTACGGTATCCTAAATAAATACCACATTTCTCAACTGGATATACCATGAAAATGTATTCCATAGTTACATAATGATTGACAAGTACCATGTTTTTCAGCTGGAAGTACCATGATGACACATTCCTCATTTAAATCATTATGGATAAGTACCACATTTATGGACTGGATGTACCACAATGACACATTCAATAGTTACATTATGATTGATAATTACCACATTTTTCGACTGGATGTACCATGATGATACTCCACACACATTATCAAGTAAATTTCCCTCACAAGTGATGCCAATAGGTGTAAAATTATTAAATGAGGATATTTACAAATTCTTAACATTTTCCAATTGCCTTTAATGAAGTTTACTGAAGTTTCCTCCTTTGCTGTTGAAGCAAACCAACTAAGAAAACACTAATTTTTATAAAACAGTCACACTATAAGGAAGGGAAAATGCATTAATATATATACATCCACAAATTTATTCACAAATAAAACTTGAAAAGTACACGCTATTCACACAAGAAACCTTTAGTTAACATTTCTTACACCTATGGCCAAAGTCACTTTTTGTTTTAATTCAAACTAGATTCAACTAAAAATGTTTTCTAATAATTTCTGTAACCATAATAAGAGAAACCAAGATCTGTGAATGTTACAAAATCACAGAGATCAGACTGAAAAGTTCTAAGCAAATGATATTCACATGTGAAGCCAAAAAAAAATCTTATTTATACCAATAACTATTTCACACATGGTTAATGTTGAATTAATTTCATTCATTGGAATGTTATTTGTTCCGTGTTTTGTTCAAGAAATCCCACACATGTCTGTTCACTTCATCTGGTTGTTCCGTTTGTACCCAGTGAGAAGCATTCTCGACAATCCTCAGAGTGAAGTCATCCACAAAGCGGACACACCCAGTTGCGAGTTGAAGACTTAAAGCCTTGTCTTTTTCTCCCCACACCATTAAGGTGGGAACTCTGATGTGCACGTTTTTAGATTCAATGTTAGTTCCAATTCTGGCCATGGCTGCTCGGTAGAAATTTATGGGTGGTGTTAATGCTCCTGAAAAAAGAAATTTTCATGTATCAATCTTTCAATTGATTAGAGGTAATAAACCTAATAATAAAAACTTCCAGACTTATCATATGAAAAGCTCTAACTTATATACACCTGGAAAAAAGTTAAGCA